AGTGCAGCAACTCGCCGCCGACTGCCGACTGCTGAATGCCAGAGCATTGCGCAGCACTACAACCATCTTCTCAATATCATTTCTGCGAGTGCAAGGGTCAAGCCTCAGAGGGCTGCCATTTTAAATGTTGGTTCCAGCTGGCGCTCTTCAACTGCTGCTTCTGCTGCTTCTGCTGCTGCCGTTTAGACTCTTCTATTTTTTCCCACTTCAAGCAGGCCATCTCCAAGCCCCAAACACGAAGGGCCCCTTTTCGCGGCCGAAAGCTTTCCCGCACGCACTCAACGAGGAAGTACGCCTACGTGGAGGAGGGTAGAGGCACCGCCCTGGAGGGCTGGCAGCCTTGGGGCCTTTATCTGGGCACCCGGTACCACGTGTGGCTGTGCTCCAGCCTGAAGCGGGAGAGCCTTGGACTGGATCGGTCGATCGGCAAGAGCCAAGACGAGCTTTTGCTGCGGCGCAAGTATGAATCATGACTGGTTGTGTCATGTAACTTGCGCCCTTCAACAGCAAAGGGCGCGAAGAAAGACTGTACTCAAAGGTTCTCAGGGAGGGAGGCTGCTGTGTTGAGGATGCTGTGTTGAGAATGCCGTCAAGGGCTTTTGTACTAATTTGGGTTCCGCGTCATCATTGGTTTTCATTTGGCATTCCTTTGAATCCCAGCCAACAGAAATTGAGCAGTTTGGCATGGCACGGCACGGCTCATCCGCCCGCTCGCGCGCGCTGCCCGCCTGCCCGCCTGCACGCGCGCACGCACAGAAGGGGCTCCCGCTCGATTGCCATTCCAGATCGATCTGTTTGCAGCTGAGTGTTGCAGGTATGCAATAGAAGAGGATTATTGGGCAAGGCCGTGGTTCTTCGCCACGCAGAGGATCTTCAATATCCGATCTTTGGCTGAAAGGGTTTGTGGTGCTCGTGAAAGTTGTAGCAGCTTCTTCCCGTGCAAAGGAGGTGTGCCAGCCAGTCTGCCAGGGACTTTTGAACCAGGGTCACCAGAAACTGTTTGGGAGATGAAGCTGACATGCGCCGAACGCATTCGAGCATCTTAGTAGCCGGAACACTCCTTGGCCTTGGAAGATGTGTACTTAGCCCCACGATCCCTTGATTGTGAACGCCGCTTTCACGGAGACCTTGCAAAGTACCGGACCATTGAGCACCAACCACCAGGCCCCACCAGGCCCCACCAGGCCCCACCAGGCCACCAGGCCACCAGGCCGCCAAGCCGCCAAGCCACCAAGCCACCAAGCCACCAAACCACCAACTACGAACTGCTGCATCATTAGATCACCAGACCGCCGGAGCATCATATTATGAGACATCTCCTTAAGAAATTTCGAAGGTGCACCACACTAAGCATCCAAATGCCTAGCTTGCCACATGGTCATAGCTTGCCAAGCGATCCATGAGGTCAGCTGCCTGGCGGACAGCTTGTGGCCAAGTCCCAGCATACGGTCCAGAACCTGTGGTCCTTGCAGGCGTGCCTTGGATAGGAAGGGCTTCGACTGCCGGGCAGTCGATACGTCGATACGCATTGCTTGTCTTAGGCATGGCAAAGCCTCCGAGGCGGTAGGGTGCAATCAAGCAGCGTGTTTGGAAGGTCCGCCCAGCTTACAGCCCAGGTACTGGACAGCCACAGTGGAAAGCCCCACTGGCGAAAAGATCGCCACCCTCAGGCCAGGCTTCCACGACTCAGACGTAGCCTAATGTAGTGTATGTTCTTCCTACTTGAGGCCGTTGGTGGTGGCGTCGGTGCTGGTTGCGGTGCTTAATTACGGTGCCTGTGGTGCCTGTGGTGCCTGTGGTGCCTGTGGTGCTTATGGTGCTTGTGGTGCTTGTGGTGCTTGTGGTGCTTGTGGTGCTTGTGGTGCTTGTGGTGCTTGTGGTGCTTGTGGTGCTTGTGGTGCTTGTGGTGCTTGTGGTGCTTGTGGTGTTTGTGCTGCTTGTGGTGCTTGTGGTGCTTGTGGTGCTTGTGGTGCTTGTGGTCTTTCTGATCTTAGAGGTCTTTGTAGAGGTCTGTGTCTTTGTGGTCTGTGTAATTTAGGTGATGTTTGGGGTGGTCACCGCGGGTATTGTCATAGTGGCATGAAGGAGTGGTGTTTGTGATAGGTTGTGTTGTGGTGAAGTGCGGCTCTGTTTTTGTGTTGCTAAACAAACATGTTGTGTTTGGCTCAGCTTTGGGCATTTGGCTTTGTCTCTTGCTTTCAGCTTTTGTCTCTTGGCTTTGTGGTGTTTAAGTCGTAGCTTTTGGGGCTTTTGGCTTCTGGCTTTCACCTTGCGCTCACTGCTTTCGTTGCACATGCCAGGGCAACAAGTGATCTATTATGCGGGCAACCCATTTATAGCTCCCCCACAACCCGCCCCCTCACGTAGAACCTGTGCTTCGCGGATAAGGTTGACTGAAAGATGTTTAAGAGAAACAGAGGGCAAAACTAGACTCTCGTTCAGACCCACCCATTGTGCTGTGCTGCGTGGATGAAGTCCAGTATAGGGCGTTTGGGTTGGGGAGGGATGCGCAAGCGATCTGTCAATCGGGCAAGAGCATAACAACCCCCACACCCGGCTCCAATATACAAAGCGTGGAGTTGATCGTGGCAAAGGCATTTGCTTGTGTATACAACCCCCTCACATGATTTGTGATGCTGTATTTGAGGCAGCCTGTTGGATTGACTGATGTCTCAGATTGCACGTGTCTCAGCCTCCAGGCAAGATACGCCCTGGAATTCCTGGTTCTATTTCTTCGGCTATCAGAAATGGTGGGTGGAAAGCCATCGTCCAGACCTCCTGCCACATGAGGCGGCAAAGGGCTTTTGGTTGTTGATGGGTCAGCCCCAAGGCTTGCGGTCTGTGTTTTCTGAACACCGGGAGAGACTTGGCCCCAGAAAAGAGCAGCATTTCGCGCGATGGGGTTGGCCATTTGAAACACCGATATTGCGTTTCCCCTCAGGGATAGCACTGTTGATTTTTCCCGCTCTTCACATTGACAGGTGGTATCTTTCCTGGCCGCGGTGTACGACATAGACAAAGCTCGGGATAGAAAAAAGAAGCACTGATCAGCACGAGCAGGTGAGAAGCAGAGCCAAAGAAGCTTTTGCCGCCCAGAAACAAACCGAAGCTACACCACGTTGGTGTGAAACCGACACGCCGTCAAGTTGCCTGTTTGTTTTTGGGAGGGCGTCCAATCGGAGCTTCCATGCCTGAGGATGGCCAAAGATGCGTCCGGTCGAGGCATTGGGAGATGGCCTGCGTCTAATGTTTGGCCTGCCCTTTGAACACTTCGCTGGCCACTGATGCAAGGCAGTCACGCACTGCTTTGCCAGTCTGATTGATTTGCCAGGCGCACGTGACATGTTGAATGTAAGAGTTTCTGGACGAGAGCTCCAACAATTGGAGGAAACTGTCGAACATCCCCACTTTGAGCGTGACACAAAAGTCGCGGCAGCTTCCCTCCATCCCATTGGCCAGCCTCCCCTAGATGATGCAAAAACTGTGAACGTGATGATATGCTGCCCGCCCAGACTGTTTGGCATCTTCACCCTATTGCTTGGTGGCGTGTTGTTTTGACATGACAGAGATTGGCAGATGGTTGTCAAGTAGACGGCCGCAGGTACGCGCCCAACCTCTCCAACACCACAGTCCACAATGACGCCCTTGTCATCGACGGCCTCGAGTACTACCAACAGGGTGCGGGGCCACAGCTTCCACGGGCTGTCGTCAACTTGAAGCGCCTTTGCTCTGGGAGCTGGCGCGCAGTTTGACTGACGCACACCGAATGGCTGCATTTGTGTGCTAAAGTTGTTTTAGGCTGGCGAGAGGGGGCGAGAGGTGAGAGCCAGGCACACTGCTGATGCAGTTTTGGCCGTTTCGGGCCAATTCAGCAGTGCCAACCTAGTGACCTCATCAAGCATCAGACCGCACAGACACATGCGCGTCGTGTCTTCTTTTTTGGCGATGACTTCGCTTGTGCTTGTGCATTTGCCAGGCGATTAGGCCAGGCTTGGGTTCCTTGATTGTCGTGCTCAATCCATCATGTGATTGGTTGTAACCCGACGACTGCGCTGCCAAAAAGCCGCCTTCGACTTTGGCTCGATGCCTTGGGTTTTGATCCAGGAATCCCACCCTGCCTTCAATCGCTGCAAGGTGTGGAGGCTTTGGACAACATGATGCTGGAGGTCAGCTCCAAAATTGTCAGCTTGGCAGCCCAGTCTGCTGGCTTGGCTCGTGGCAGCTTTGCCGAGTCCAAGTTGTTCTAGCAAACAGCGAGTTTAGGATTTTCAAGCTGCAGCAGACTATGGCATAGGTTAGTGTTGATGAAGTCGTGCCATGTTTTTGATGCTGGAATGATTCCAAATCAAAAATGGTTTTGGTGTAGACGCCACCGCTTGGCGCATTTCCAGGTGACTGGACAATGCCTACAAATGGCGGGATGATACTTCTTCAAGCGGTCGCAACTGACATAACCTTTCGCTTTGTTTCGCTCCAGCAGGTTCCCGAGTTCGCAACTCCCGCAGTTTGCTGCACTTTTTTTGCGCCGAAGTTTGAAATAGATGAAGTGCAGGGTTGACTGAATACAGGCGGCAATTTCAGAGGCGAGGCCTTCTGAAATATTTGTTCAGCTTCTGGTGTGAGCCCTGCAGCTGAGTTTTGGCTTTCTGATTTGCTCCAGTCCAGCTCTGGTCAGACGAGACCAGTCCAGGTGTTTTCAACCCAGGTCCCTTGCAAAGGTGAGAAGTTGATCAGTTGGATGCCCGAATGTTCCTTGCGCACTGGCCCTTTCAGCTTGATTCTGGGAGCCGCGCCTGGTTCAACCCCTTTCAGGTAGTTCTCATGTTCAACGAGTTGGTGCCTCGCAGGCCTCCCTTTACCGGACTGGACTTTGATCTTTGACTGCCTTGCTAGGTTGGTCGTCAGTGCCGGTACGGCTGTTGCTGAAGAACCTGACCGCTCTGAGGCAACTCGATGCAAACTGTGCGGCATTCCTTTTTTGGGCTGGCCACTTCTTTGTGTTTTATGATTTGCAACATGAGCTGAGTCCGCAAGTCACGGGCTCGCAAGGCTACATAGATACAAACCTCAGATCCGCCACGAGATTGCAGTGTGATGGCAGAATGAAGCCGCGTTCCAGGGGAAAAACCGCTCCTATTCCATTTACTTAGCATGTGTTTTGGTTTTCCTTGTCGACTTAACGCGTCGAACTTGGCTTGGGAAGTTCTGGGCTCAGCCAGCTGCACTTCCTGCCCGCGTTTTGCTGTTTTGGAAGCCCTGTTTGTGGCGAATGAAGCTGGCGACTCAAAATGGCAGCTTGGTTTTAGCATTTCTTGGTTCCTTCCGAGACAGGCTCAGCCGATTCTCTTATTGTTTGGCCAGCGTGGTCGCAGTTCTGTGTGTTTCCTCCAATTCCCGCAAGGGCCATCTTTTTTTCGGTGTCTCAGTCTCAGCCTGAAAAAGGCAGCGGAACAGCTGGCAGATGAATGCAGACGCTGGAGTGTTTCCTCCATGTTGCAGATAGACCACACCTTTCATGCAGGGTGTCCTTATTTTATTTGCAAGGGTGGTAGCGGGCAGTGCATGGTCTCAGGTGTTGGAAAGGTTGTGCTGAGTTGGCGCTGGCATCACGGGGTTGTATCTCAGCGCATGCCTGTTTCGCTTTTGTCACCGGGATTTGCCCCACCCACACAGTTCAAGGCTACTGGCATCTCATCCGGGTTGAAAGTGGCTGCTAAGCTGAAGATATAGCGTCGGCATGACGGAGATCTCCTTTTGTGGCGCGATTGATCTCTTTGGCCTGCAGCGACCCCCGCTTATTGCTGGGAGGCCCAACGTGTCGTTGGACCTCTTTCGAGGCATGGCGAGCTTCTCCCTGAGAGTATCAAACCCTTGCAACAGGTGTTGCTTTCTGGTGTCGGAATTTTATGAGGGCCTCTAGAAACCTGCCATATCATTGGAACCAACGTGCCGCTGGCCAAGTCTGAGGCCTGAGGTGGTCTTAGTGTCGGTACCTGCTGAGTTTGAGGATGTTCAGTTCTTGGGCATGGCAACCCATTGGTTGCAATATGTTGAGCCCGAGTCATAAAGTGAGCATGATCATTGTCAAGGACGACGTCATGCACCCAACGTATTGTAACCGCCTGTGGGCGTTGGTTAACCAATTCGGTTGTGAGGATTGTACAAGCGAAGCGACCGGTGTTTGCTGAGAATGGGCCTCAGATCATCGCCAGGTTTTATGTTTTCCTACACTTTATGGAATGGCTTGGTGGTTTGGCAGCCAGATTCGGTCTGGAACTTGTTTCAGAGGAGTCGGTGCCCACATAGTTCTGGAGTCCGGGTGCTTGTGGGCATTCTGAGCCGCATCAAATCAGACAGAGAGTTGTTGCCTTTCCCCCGAGCCGCCCCACCAAACTGGGCCAAATGACACATCAAATCACACCGCAGCTTCCCCCTTTCGCTTTCGGTCTGCCAGGTGCGGATGGCATCCTCGGCGGCTCCGGGTACACATTGCCGGCAGCCTAGCCTCGGGGATCACACTTTGGCATTTTTGGGTGAGTTCAAGTTACTTCCTTTTGTTCATCCGAGAATCACATTCCCAGATGCAGATTTAGTGTTGTTTTGGGGAATGAGTGTGCCCCAAAACATGGGCCCCCTGCTCGGATGCTCAAAGGGAAACCAAAGGACACCATCCATATAACGGGTCCCGATTAAACCGCGACTGCCAAATGCAAAATCACTACCCTCGCTCCCACTAACATGGCAAGGAGGCCCCTTCAATTGGAAATTGTACCAACTCCGTGTTATAGACTGATGGCAACACCTGGTGCGTACTGTTTCGCGCGCACACCCACACAGACACGCACACACACAAATGCAGACAGAGATACGTGCATTGCACAGTGGATTCATCAAGATGGCAATTAGCCGAATTCCATGCATAGCGCCAATGGCCCCATTCGGACGCCCACTGAGGTCGTGCCGAAACACAACCTTGTGGCACCTGCTTTTGCAGAAGACGAACGCCACGAATTTCTTTCTAGACTTTCATCCTCCGCCAGCCGCAATTCTCAGGGTCTGCTGCCTAGACTGATTTGCACCAATGGGCACTCATGAGCACGTGTGGTTGATGGGCGGGGCCTTTGAGCATCAGTGACTCAGGACTCCTCCCCAAGCCGCATCGTCTTCAACGAGGTTTGGCCGGCCTTGCGGCTCGCGGTTGCGCCTTTCCAAGCGGGACATGTTGTTCCCTAGAGGCGAAAGACACGTTAGGAGCCGACCTCAGGTTGTTGCCAGCTGGCAGTTCCAAGGCCTGTAGTGAATGAGCATAGAAACACAAACAGTCATTTTCGATATGGGAATACGGAATACCAGCTCCCTACCAAGGGAATATTGCAATCATTCATACAAGAAGGTTGACAACGGATCTTTTTTCAATTGAAATCGTCAAGGTCGGATAGCGTAGGTCTAAACAACTGCTTCAAAGGGCAACTTGAATGGGTAAACACTGCGCATTGCCCGCCTCGGCCAAGCCGAGCGCGCAGCGTCTGTGGTTCGACTGCAAGCAGCAGAGCTGGTCAAGTGGCGATTCAGGCATGGACAGGTTCTGGCGTCGCTGGACCAATTGATGTCATGATGTCCCTTGCTCGAGTGCCGCCAGGTTTGCGGGCCTGGGCTGGGCGGGCTCAGCTGGGCCTTGCTTGTGTGGGTTGCTGGTTGGGCTGGGCTGTGAGGCTACAGGCCTGTCATGCTGTTCGGGACCAAAGGACTATTTTTGGCGAGTCTTGGCGTTCTCAGCGCATTTGCAAAAAACTGTCGTAAAATTGCGACGAGGAGCTGCTGTTGGGTTGAACTATGTTTCGAGGGCAAGTTGGAGCCGCGGGCAATTTCACGAAAACGAAAAATCGACATTTCTGTTCCTGGGACTCAGGAGGACGGCGCCTGGCGCCAACTTACGTAACATGCTTCATAGATGTCTTGGGGGGCGCGGGTAGTGGTCAAACAAAATTGCGATCATCGAAATATTCAAGCAAATTGGGAGAGTCTTACAACCAAATTGGGAGAGTCTTACAGTCTTACTTTTCATTGTCGTAAATTGACACTGTTGTCTGCCGGCAGCCAAGAGAAGCCAGGCAGACAAGGTCACTAAAACTACTTCAGGTTATGATCACTCACGCTTCTGTCTTCAAAGACATTGCCCGGTGTCTCCCGCCGCATTTTCGGATTCAGGTGGATCCTGCAGCTCGGGAACATTTACTCTGGAGCCAGCCAAAGCAGACTGGTGACATGATCAACGATGCGATGCACGAGCTTCTCATCTACCGGCCGAAGGCTGGGCACACGGCGCAGGAGGGCTTTGCCCAACATGATTTCCAGCTGGGCTTGCCGGAGACATGCTTTTCCGACGGCCTTGAGGTTTCCCGGATTTGTGTCGCGCGTTGTATTGCATGTTTTGTACTTGGTCAGGCTCGCCAGCTACGCTCAAGCATCAAGTCTGTGAAGCTGCAAGAAGGTCTTGTCGGAAGCCACCATGCCCTGCACTTTGCGTCATCGTTTAGTGTTGCTTTCTATGCCTTGGAATCTATATAGCGCCAGCTCCCCCACTTGCACTTGGGAGGTGTGCGGAGTTGACCTCCTGTACAACGCCTCCTCAAATTGGCTGACCATCATTGACACCTCTGGGCAGGAACCCTGGGGGTTGGAAGATGTTGGAAGCTGCACATTGCTCCAGGGCTGCTGTCCACCTGTTGAACAGACAAGTCGGGTCTTTTTCTCCTTCGGTCCTTTGAAAGTGTTGGGAGAAGTAGCGTTCCGTTCTGCAAACATATGTGGCCAAGTCTGAGACTGCCTCCTGCCAGTCATACCAAAGGTAACAAATTGCTACTGGACAAAGAAATGATTTGGCACGGCAATGATGTTTCCAGGACAGCTCTTATATTTAAATTTCATGATCCACAGAAGTGTGATTGCAACTATAAACAAAGGACCCTATGACGGCAGTTGACAGTCAAACACGTTTTGATGCAACACCCGTGCAATAATAATCATGTGCCAGCTCAAGCAACATGCACCCGACTGACAATGTTGTTTGGGGTCGCTTGACATAAAAGCCGTGAAACTCCAAGTCACACCGCAGGATGTCAATGCTGGGAATGCGGAGAGTGGTTATCAGCTGGAAGAGCAGTCACGCGATGTAGACATGAATTCAGTCCGAACCTGTTTGGTGTAGGAAAGTAAAGCTGGAGGGCACGTGAAGTGTAAGTTTGCCTTGATTTGAAAGGGTACCTAATGACTTGAATGTTTGCCTGTTCCCTTATCTCCGTGGCATTTGCTGGGACGGAAAGTCCGCGGCTTAAACATTAATCATGTGAAGCTTGCCGCCGGCGTTCATAATATGTTCTTTGACCCCATCGTACACGTGTGTGGCATGTTTGGGACTGGACCAACAGGCCGGCTGATAGACTCGATTGACCAATGGACTGCGCGCGAGCTGTGCTTGGGATTGATGAGCGGGTTGTCGGTTGTCGGACACTTCAACACGTTACTTATGTCCGTTTTGGGATTACCCATGGCCAAGAATCCAAGAAGCCACAATATCATACGCACTTCCATCCATTGAAAGTTGACACCTCAAAGTCTCCGCTCCTTTTGGTGTAGCTGCGTGCGGCCGGAGTGGTTTCAGCCGTTTGAGACGGGGTTGGACGCGGATGTGCCAAGGCCCTGCCTGGCTTTGCCGCCGTTTCTCTTCGACCGCTTGATGCCGGGGGCTTGGCCAGGGTGGAGGCTCAAAAGACCTGGAGCCTACGTCGTATTCAGAGGATCAGAAGGTTCGAATTCGAATGATATCGTTATGAGCTGTTGAATGGGGAGAAATCGTCATCTTCTCTTACTGGGGACTGGGACAGGCACCAAGACCTGCGCGAGCAGTAGCAGCCTTGACGATCATGCTGCTTCGCAGGTTCCAGTTGAACAGGTAGTTGCAACGTAGAACCTGAAGCACTTTCATGGATGCACCGGACCTGTGTTGTGATTGTATGGATCTGGGCTGCTTTGTTCTGCTTGCTGCTTGAGCATTCCAAGGACCCACATCCCTGTGGACTGTCCTTTCAAAATGGGAGAGAAGTCCTACGGCCACCTTTGCTCGCCGCAGGCGGGAGCGAAGCAAATTTATGGCGGCCGTTTTGGCTCAGCCCTGGGCACCCTCCTTTCGATTGCCTACGAACATCGCAGGGCATGAAATTCTGGCCTCGAGCTTGTCTTTCCAAGTGAGGCAGCTTCCTGTTTGTTCAAGCTGAGTTGTTCGGTGACGCCCAATCCGACTATTCAATACGTCAGTTTGGCCGAAGTAGGGCATGAGAGGGGATGCAACATTGTCAGTGTGGCGAGATTTCCGTGCAGGCGACAGGGACGCTGCTGCAGCCCCGGCCAGCGGTTTTTGGGGTGAGAGGAAGCGCCACGGGAGGACTCCCTTTGGCTGAAGCCAAGTTGTCTCGTCCGCTGGCTTCGTCTTCTCAAGATTTGCTTCATGGTCACCAAACCTTGTTTTCCTCTTACTGACCAGAAGGGGGTCCGCCTGTTTGAGAAGCTCTTCTATGTCTCAGAGCCGCGCTGGGGATGAGTGTGGGGAGGTGGAGACTATTGCGATGGTTTTGGATCCAGTTCTTGTCAGGGAGTGGCTGGCTTCTTGATGAACTTCGTGTTTGCTTTGTGTAGAAGGCCTTTGTTTTCCAGGCAAAGAAGGGGCCATGACAGAATGACATACTCGAACATTGGTTCACAAGCAGCACGAGTTTGCGCATGTAAAACCGTCAAGTTTTTCAGCGCAAGAACACACATTCGGCAATCTACAGATACTCTACATACCATGTGCACATCACAGACTCAAGCTGCCAAGCTTCCAGCCAGCCTCAAGTCAACATAACCTGCCCTTCAGCAGTCCACCGAGTGTCCTCAGCCTTTTCTTTTTTGCGCACATGTTGTGTTTGACAATCGTGGAACTGGTAGACATTGGCTTCAAGACTCATTCCGACATGTTGCCTATAGCATCGTTAGCCCATGTTTGAAAGGACAAGGCACGGTGGGAGGGGCTTTCCCTCCAGGCCAGTGAGCTTCTAAAATTCAGCCGGACTCAGAGAATCAGGCGAACAGGCTTCTTCCTTGAGGAATTCTGAGTTCCTCCCGACCTTCGCTGTCCCCCACCCGCTTCTCGGGTGGCAGGGTCACTATAGGGCTCAGCTTTCGAATTGAGGCCCAGCCTGAGCTTCCAGCTCGAAGACTCACAGGAGCCGTCGAGCCCAGATGTGCATACGCAAAGGGCGTGTTTGCTTCGAACCGGCACCTTGCCCCTTGAAGGGAGATTATGGTGGCGTGAACGGGCTGCGACAGTGGCTCGGAAAGGCTCATGGTCCATCCCCGGCTTGGAACATTTGTTGCATTCAGCAGCCAATGTTTCGCAAGGGGCCTGATTCGCGCACGGGGTAGGCAACAGCAGTTTTGGTGGCTCCATCGTCACCGTGCGTTGCGGATCTGCAAATGATTGCAAGCTGTTTGTTGCCTAAGCTTGCCAGTTGTTTGCGCGTTTCTCGACATCTTTGTTGAGCTTGCTTTGGGAGTGATTCCAAGACGGACGCGAGACCGTTGGCCGATGAGCTGCTAAATTGTCTGTGGCAGTAGGTCATCCTCCCATCGTCTAAACTCACTCAACCTTTCTCACTGAACAGTGTTGTACTTCAGCATGAACTGCTATCGCTTTTCTCTTGTCCCCCGCACCCTCTGAAATGCATCGCCCAACAGCTTGGCTATTGTAGTAGGGGGATCTGACTAAGAATGAGATAGTGCAATCTAGAAATCGCTTTGGTCAAAACTCAATGAGCTCGCGATGGCTTCACTGGAAACCTAGGCCAGAGCCCCCATCGGTGGTGCTCTCGCTGAAGCGACTCGTCTTCAGGCCGCGGGAACTTAATTTGGGTGCTTCGTTATTCTTTGGATTCCCTTTAACTCCAAAAGGCCCACGAAAGTTTTGTCCCATGCTCAAATGTACTGGAGCGTGCCATGCTTTGGTGAAACAAACTGTCCTTTGCCTCTGCTCCTGGTAGATACCCTTCTTGGCAATTGCCAAAGGTTAAAGGAAATACGCCCTTTTTTCATAGTGTCCATTCGCGAAATGAAGGATCCTCAAAGAGACAAGGTTCTTGCTACTTCTACTTGCTTCAAGGGATGACTTATGTTCCAAGTTGTCTTTGAATTTGACATGGCCATGACTGGCAGTGTCATAGTTGCATTGGCACTTAGGCCTGCCTTTAAGAGGCTTAGTTGTTGTTGTCGTTGAATGACATCATCTTATCTTTGCAGTGAATGCGATGTGGTCACAATCATGCATCATGTTGTGACATGCTCAATGTTCAAGCAGGATGATGTTGTTGCATGTCAGCGCGCATCATTCCGAGATGAGCTGTGCAATCAGGCAATCACGGTTCTTGATTGCTGCTCACTCAGCGCCTAAAGGTTGGGATGGGTTGATGGCTCTGGCATACCCTGGCAAAGGGCAGCACATCCGCTTCCGTCCGTGTGCGGAGTGCAGGAACGCCTCGGGTGACAAGCTCCTGTGCGTGGCCAGACAGGACACCAACAAGGAGACCATCCCAGCGGACATGATGTGCCCACGGGCTGGGCAAGACGGCATGCCGACATGCGCAAACAGAAGCAGAAGGAGGGCGTCAACAAACGGGTTTTCAAATCAGGGTGATAAATCAGCAAGGACTTGGACAAAAGGTGAGGATCGTTGGGAACATACATTGGGATGATTGTCAACCAGGAAAGAGATTCCCTCACAGCCCACTCCGCCCCGATCCCTGCTTCTTTGATTTCTGGGTTTCTTTTCCGCTATTTGTCGGGTTTGTCGTGTTTCAAGCGGACGAGCTTTGGGGGCCTATGAACAAGGTCCTGGGCATGCATCAACCTCACATGATGCATGCCGCATCACCAGGGTGGGCCCCATGGAACTTGCTATTGCTGTCATTGCTGCCATTGCTCCTATGGAGCAATTGTAAAGATTAGGTGTGTCGCATGCAAGTTTTGAATTGGTCTTCCGACCCATTCATCTCTTGATTGACACGAGCGAAACGAGAAGCATTCATGGAAGCGTCTGAGCCAGCCACGCTTAAAGTTGAAAGAGTAAATAGACAGCCAGGGTTGCTGAGCCAGGTACTCACACATAGCATTTGGATCAATGGTGGCGTCTGCGCTCTATGTAGCCGGATTCTCATCACAGCGCTTCTTGCTGCAGCAGGGTGAAGCATGTGATCAAAAGTGCTTTGCCCTCCCTATGCGGTTGTTTGGTCGTGCAGCCCCCTAGGCGCAATGGCTCCGGAACACGGCAGTTTGACTAGCTTGATGTTCTTTCGACAGTTGCCGCGTTTGGAGCGGTGCAACAGTGCTGGTTTGCTATTCTCCCTCTTGAATGACACGCCTTTCTTAGCATGGGTCTGCCAGTCTGTCACCCAAAGTGCCGACAATCAAAGAGGCATTTGTAGAGTTGCCAGTGGCCAGTGCTGTTGTCGTCGCATTCCCCCACGCCCTTTAAAGACGAAAGATGTTTGGGGATCGCCAAGTTCTTGCCGGTGCGGGGCCAGAAACTGGCCCTGAGCCAGCAATGAGGTCGTGGACCTGCAAAACGCCACCATTGGTTGGGAGCTGAAGGGCTGGGCAGGTCAGTTGTCCCTGGCCGCCAATCAGTAGATGTTCTACGGCATGGATGGCTGTTTAAGGCTTTGCTGCAAGTAGCTATACAGTATATTATACAAGCACAAACGGTTCATCCCGCACTTCGCGGTGTCATTCCTATGCCAGTTCGAGCATCAAGCTGCTTGCCAGCCTTGTCCATGTGGGGTTTCTTCGTCCTTTGAAACTGAGGTTAGTTTTATTAGCTTTTGGAACATGTTCTGCAGAAACCCGCAAGTGTGGAAGCAACAGCATCATGAGCAACTCTTTGGAACAACGCATGCAGTAAGAATGCTCTCGAGTGATCAAGATCTAAGACATTGGATCAACAAGGGAGGAGGAGGAGGAGGAGGAAGAGGAGGAGGAGGAGGAGGAGGAGGAGGAGGAGGAGGAGGAGCAGTAGCAGCGGCGCGAGAAGGAGAAGAGAGCAGCGGTGAAGACCAAGAACATGTCTGCAACTATACAATTCATGGGTAAGTTGACGAATCGGTGAGATACCGTACTCAAAACAGGCATAGACAATTGGAATGAGGTAGCACGTGTCATATTTCAGTGAATGCAACTTTGGGACTGTAGCATTGTAGCATTGCAGACCTTTTCTTCTGAAGCTTCACATATTCACATGGGTCTGATCTTGAGCAGGGTGAAATAGATGAGGCTATTGGCTCTTCCTGGCAGCGTTGACATCTTTTCGCGGAAACTATGCGACGGGATGCCATGGCAAAGGCAAGATCAACGAGCGCGCAGCTCATGTTTTCTTTGCGTTTGACAAAGCTTCTCATCAGAGTGTCGCAATGCACGCAAGCACAATCGAGGCGGGCTTGACTTGGAGTGTATAGCTCGTTATTTTGGCTTGATGCTTGGCTTGCCCTCTCCATTTCAGCAGTGTCTTGGTTTTCTTTGGTCAGGTTTTTCCTCTGAGCTTGCAGGAGACCTGATAGGGTTTGTGGAACCCTGTGCCCAATGTTTCAGCTTCGTGAGCTCGGGCGAGGCCTGGCTTCCCGGGGCGATCCGGCGGCCGAGAGCTCCGAGGCGAGCGGAGCCGTCCCGGGCGAGAACATGGCTCACATGCTCGTTGGAATCATCCATGTATACAAGGCCACCCATCTCGCCCACTCATCTCGCCCTTTGTCCTCCCACAGCAGTGGACCAACGCTACCAGGCTGGCTGTGCAACTCCACCCACCTGTATTGCGATGCAGAGCTTCTTGCTTGCACCATAGCTGTTGGGCGCTTTTGTATCAAGAGTCAGGCAAGTGGTCCTAGCAGCACGCGATGCCTGCAGAGAGGGAATCGCACTGGCTCGGCAGATTGAGACATATCAACCAATTGCTGATGTGGCAGAGTTTCAAGCAGAGTGATTCCAACATGCGGGACCGTCGGCAGTTGACCAGGCTGGTTTGCTTTCTCATTTGCGAAGTTCGTGCATGCTAGCCAATCACCGACTGATGACAGATTTAACTGCTTGGAGCGTGATTGGATTTGCTTCTCCTTTCAGGAGACATTCCTGTAGCAATAAGTGGCCTTTTTTGGAGCCTTGAGACCGTGCCGTTGTGCCATTGATTTGCTAAGGCTATTTTCCTCCTCTGAACATTTGCCCGGCAGCCTAGCTGAGCTGCGCAAAGCTCGGTGGACGCTGAGTCTGTTGTGATCAAGGGATCAGTGACCTCTGAGTCAGATATGTTGGAGTGTGTCTCAAGCATTTGGAGGGATACTCAATCAGACCTGGTCATGTCTCCAGTTACAGTGGTCATCAACCCATCATCTAGAGGGTGTGACGTGCAGACAGCTTGACTTCCTCAAGCTCTGGTTGCAAAGAGTTTGGGGTTTCCAACCCCAGCTTGAGTCTGCACATTGATGACTACACATGCCTTCACCGCTGCCGCTAATGATGCTATCAAGACTAAATTCAAGCAAAGATTCAGGATTCTTGCCGTGACCACTACCGCTACTGTTCCCATTGCCACCCAAATAGCATTCTTGCTAGGCGAGGATCCGCCCTGCTCGCACTACATTTTCATGACGCTGGATGAAGAGACGAAGACCTGTCGCTGGACGGGCCCTTTGCAAGTTTGGGTTGCAAAAGCGGAAAGTCACACATATGCCTCGTATGTTTCTTGTGCACTGGGCCGTTTTGTATGCAGGAGAGCGCCCATTCCAGTGGCCTTCGTGCTTCTGCTGATCACGTTGGTGGTTCTGGACCTTGTCAGCCACAGGCCTTGGGGGGCGGAAGCAGCAGTGCACGTTGCACACATTCATGAGGTTCTTCACCCCTTGACAAAAGCATGAACTTCAACCGCCAAGATCACGCCATGCCATACCCAGCAAGCCCTTCCTCTCAAGCTGCGAGGCTCTACAAGCAAGCAATCCAACGAGCCAGCGAGTTCACGCAGTGATCTCTGGGAGCAAAAGTCCGGAACTGCGGCTGGGCCTGTGCTGACTTCACGCACTTGATGTTGATGGCCTCCATCCAAGATCCAACGCTGGGTAAGTGCGCCAAAGTCTTCTGACAAAATGAGAATCTAGGATGCTTGCTTGATATGACCGCTGCAGCTCGTCCTTTTCAAGTTTCGATTTGCTGGGCGAGCCAGTGGTGTCGGGGTGAATCCTGCAAGGTTTGTTTGTTTTGCTTCATTTGGCAAGATGGATTTATCCGCATTTCCGGAAGGCTTCCTGTACCTTGGTGCAGGCTCTCACGGCTCCCTACCAGCCGCCTCAATTTGCCGATATCCCTGTGGTCTTGGTGGCGGCCCTTGTGCGTGGCTCAAATGCTGTGCTGATGAGATTGTGCGACACTCCATCGAAACCTGACTTATTCGGGCTCATCACCCGCCATCTTGCCCCACATCACAGGGACGGCGCAATCAGGACCAAACATATGTTATATCCCACAGACAAAGCATGGGTTAAAGACAAAGCTTGCCATCAGTCTCACTCATGTTTTCAAGTCCACTCCAGAGGAATAAGCGAACATTAGCAAGCAGCTCAGGAATGTCTCACCACACCCGTGGGTTTGCCCCAAGCTGACTTAGGACTGTCTTTTGGCCCTATCCGTTGCGAGGCGTTTCGCCCCGTTGAAGCCATGGGCATCTGCCAGGGGGGCATGCTTCACTGCTGCGGTGAGGGCCAGCTGGAAAGCTGGAAGGACAGTGGTGGCAAGGTCCGACATTTGGCCGCGGTCAGCTCGAGCGGGTGCTTGTCGAATTTTAGAGTCGCCTAGGAAAACATGTTTCCTGTGGTTTGCGCTGCCGCACCTCTAAAAGAAGGTTCTCTCCTTGTTCCATCGTTTTGACGCTTTGGAGCGCCAGTTCTTGTTGCCGCTTGGAGTGCAGGTTTTGTCAGTGCTTCGTAATTATTGGGGTTGGCAAGTTCTGCCAGACCTGCTTCGCGCAGGTTCTGGTTAACGCTTCATGCAGCTCCTTGTTAAATGCTTTCTCTGGGGAAATTTCAAACATGACACACGTGTTTGCACTTCAATATGCATACTGAAACTAATCTAGTTGCACCTCTGTGTTTCTCCCAGAACAACTGTACTCAGATTCCCGAAATCGGCACTGAGGGTTTGGGTAGAAGCCTTTGCGTCAGGCACTGCCACCTTGCATGCGATCTTTACATGCAGCTTTCAATGTGTCTTTGATGTTTTTTTTTGGGTGCACGCCCGATGATTGATATAACTATTATTTCTAGATACGCAACAACAAGCAGTTTTGAATTGAAGTTACAACATTCCTGTCGAGCCACTTGTTCTCATTTCTTAATGATCTTGGAGTCCGCAAGCAAACTTGCTTTCAGATTTCTTTCCC